ATGAGGAAAAGGGGTATATAAGCCAGCAACAGAAACAATGACATTTTGGAATTGTGAAACAATCCAAGTGGGTGAAGGTGGTGGTTAATGCCTCCCTTCGGGAGGGCAAAATTCCAGCCAGCTTAAAACAAGCTATCATAAAACCGCTGTTGAAAAAACCATCACTGGATCCCACTAGATTTGACAACTTTCGGCCAGTTTCCAATCTCCCCTTTTTGGGCAAAGTCATGGAAAGTGTAGTGGCCTCACAACTCCAGGTATTCTTGAGAGACCCGGATTATCTGGATTCGGCACAGTCTGGTTTCAGACCGGGACATGGTACTGAGACAGCCTTGGTCGCCTTAGTGGATGATCTGCGTCGGGAGCTCGACAGGGGGAGTGTGTCCCTGTTGGTGCTGCTCGACCTCTCAGCGGCCTTCGATACCGTCGACCACGGTATCCTTCTGGGACGCCTTGCGGGGATGGGTCTTGGAGGTACTGTTCTGCAGTGGCTCCGCTCATTCCTCGAGGGTCGGTCTCAGAAGGTGTTACTGGGAGACTCCTGTTCAACCCCACAACCTTTGTCTTGTGGGGTTCCTCAGGGTTCAATACTGTCTCCCATGTTGTTTAACATCTACATGAAGCCGCTGGGCGAGATCATCCGGAGTTTCGGAGTACGATGTTATCTGTACGCAGATGATGTCCAACTCTGTCACTCCTTTCCACCTGCTACTAAGGAGGCTGTCCAGGTCCTGAACCGGTGCTTGGCCGCTGTGACAGTCTGGATGAGGGCGAACAAATTGAAATTGAATCCAGACAAGACAGAGGTACTCCTGGTCAGTCGCAAGGCCGAACAGGGCATAGGGTTACAGCCTGTGTTGGATGGGGTCGCACTCCCCCTGAAGACGCAGGTTCGCAGCTTGGGTGTGATCCTGGACTCATCGCTGAGCCTGGAACCCCAGGTTTCGGCGGTGACCAGGGGAGCATTCGCACAGTTAAAGCTTGTGCGCCAGCTGCGCCCGTACCTTGGGAAGTCTGACTTGGCCACGGTAGTCCACGCTCTGGTTACATCCCGTCTTAGACTACTGCAACGCTCTCTACGTGGGGTTGCCTTTGAAGACAGTCCGGAAGCTCCAATTAGTCCAACGGGCGGCAGCCATGATACTAACAGGAGCGGAGCGCAGGGAGCACACAACCCCCCTGTTGCACCAGCTCCACTGGCTGCCGATTTGCTACCGGGCCCAATTCAAGGTGTTGGTATTGGCCTATAAAGCCCTAAATGGTTCCGGCCCAAGATACCTATCTGACCGCATCTCGGCCTAGCCCACCAGGACCCTAAGATCTTCTGGGGAGGCCCTGCTCTCTATCCCGCCGGCTTCACAGGTGCGGCTGGCAGGAATGAGAGACAGGGCCTTTTCTGTGGTGGCCCCTCGGCTTTGGAACACCCTCCCCATAGAGGTAAGATCAGCCCCCTCGCTGATGGTGTTTCGAAAAAGATTGAAGACATGGATGTTTGAACAAGCATTCGGTTAATCCGGTGCAATGAATTCTGATGATCAAAGGATTGGTAATCATGGACGATGAGATTGGATTGCGATTTTAGTTACGAGATGCAATTGGATTGTTATTGGTGGCCCAATAATTTGTATTGTATATGTGTTTTTTATGCTTTTAAACTGAATATTGTGATTTTTGTAGTGTTGTAAACCGCATTGAGTCGCCGATTTAGGCTGAGAAATAGCGGTATACAAGCGCAGTAATAAATAAATAAATAAATAAATAAGTTGGTTGGTCCTGATGAAGCGGGCACAAACTAAGGAGAAGAGGGGAAAAACAGTATAATAATAATTATAAAGAAATAAAACATGTATAAGTGGACAAAAGGCGTGTGATAGAGTTATATGTTGTATAAGTTGTAATGGAAATTTAAAAAATTGATAAGAAATATGCTTAAAGGTGTTTTTGATATTTTTTCTTTTATTGTTAGATTGTATATAATATGACATACTCTTTTATCTAAGATATTGTAAAAAGAGGGAAGAATGTATGCTTATACGTTTCGTTTGACAAATTTATAAATGAAATCTAAAAAAAAAAATTCACCCTACCCTGTCTCAAATGATCCATTACTAGCACCCATATTCTAAGCAAGGGGTGACTATTATCCCAAAATTGCCATAGAAAAGTAAGGTACCCCTCTACTCAGATGACAGGCCCAGATTTCCCAAGGCTGCTGTTTCTTTGGTGTATATTTCATTCTCTGGGAACTATTCATACCAGCCCTCGTTTGAACGGTTTGGGAGTTTTGGCTCATGAGCAAAATGGAGAAACAACCTATGCCCGAGGAAACTGCTCCACATCCTTGCCCTGCCTGAAAGCTGTCTTCATAGCTATCCTTAAAGATCCTGCTGAGTTTGGTTAGTGAATGTTCATGTTCATTTTTTATTTTAAAAGCAATCATTTCTGACTTTCTCTCTGCTTGATTCTTTAATAAGTCTACTTAATTAGAAATTGTTTTCGTTCCTTAGCCTCAGGGTTGGCTTCATCAATGTGCTGTACTGCTGGGAGAAGCAGACCAAAGCGGCTGCTAAGAATTTTAAGGAAGCACTGAAAAACAGTCTTATCTTCCTTTCTTAGTATACTATCTGTGGTTGGATTCCTGTACATTTCGCAAATAAGGGATGAAAACAACATCCCTTGGTCCTGTTGGTCCTGGCTTTGAAAATAAACCTGGCTGTCCACATTTACATGTTTAATTTTTGTGGATTTGATTATTTGTGGATTTGATTAATACATGGTCTCTAGGGCTCCTGCCATATAAAATTTGGGTCCCTTCTACACTGCCTTATAACTCTGGTTATCAAACCTGATAATCCACATTACATGCTTTGAATTCAATTATCTTAGTCTACACTGCCAGATAATCCGGTTCAAAGCAGATAATCTGGATTTTACATGGCAGTGTAGAAGGGGTCCCAGATTTTTCTGCTTTGGATTATATGTCTGTGTAGGTTCATATAATCCAGTTTAAAGCAGATAATGTGGATTATCTGCTTTGACCATCTGGATTATATGGCGGTGTAGAAGGGTTTTCGGAATCTCTAGGTCCTCTAGTGTAAACCCAGGTGCATCTAATGTAAACTTAATGAAGTTTGACATCACTTATGGGAACGAGGGAGAGAGCCTTCTCCTCTGTGGCCCCATGATTATGGAATTCATTGTCTAGTGAGATTAAGCAAGCCCCCATCCTAGTAGCCTTCAAGAAGGATCTCAAAATCTGTTTTTTTCCGCTGCACTTTTGGAGAGTGAGCCTACATCTCCTTCTGCTCACTCCCCACACTGTACTTCCCCCTGCCTGTTTGAAGGTCTGTCTCCATTATTCCATTACTTCATTTCATTGAGTTTTTCTTTTACAAATATTTGCATTTTATTTCTATCTCATCCTGAGTTTTTATCATTTTACTTCGTACAAGTGGCCCACTCACTGTGATTGTGATTTTTCTTTTACTGTATTTGGCATTATTTTGTTGTATTCTTGTTTTATTTATTTTATTGTAATGTTTATTTTGTGTTTTGGTTTTATTTTGTTTATTCTGGGATTGGCCTCATGTAAGCTGCCCCGAGTCCCTTTTGGGGAGATGGTGGCGGGGTATAAATAAAGCTTATTATTTTATTATTATTTAGTTGTCGTGGCTCAGTCCTGTAGAATTATGGAGGTTGTAGTTTTATAAGGACTTTTGCCTTCTCTGTCAAAGTTTGCTGGAAACTCAATAAACTACAAATGACAGGATTCCTTAGCATTGAGCCATGGCACTTAAAGTGATATAAAACTGCATAAAATCTTCATTGTAGATGTACCCTCCATGATCAACCTCTGCTAGAAGAGTTATGCTGAAGGGTCCAGAGATTAACAGAAATGTGATCTCTCATGTTAAAAAAGAAGTGTTTTTTTTATTCATGGTTTTCTATTTTTGTGGGGATCTTGCACCCCTAACTCCAGTGAATATAGAGGGCAGCGTGTATATTCAAAAAGTATTTTACAGATATGAAAACAGTGGTTCTAGCATCTCCTTATGCCTCCACCTTGTGTGACTGTGGAACAGAAAAAACAATTTAGTATCCGTATGCTCGCCCACAATGCCCTGCCTCATGCACAGAGGAAGAACTGCTTAAAGCTACAGACAGTGCGGTTGCTGTTGCCCGTTTTTGGTCTAAGATTATTTAGCTGCTTGTGTCCCTCTATTTTATCAGTTTTACACTAATTTATTTATTTATGCAATGCTTTTGACACAAAATAAATAAATAAACCAGCTGATTTTCTCAGTAATTTCTCCCATAATGCCTTTGTTCCCAGGAACCCAGTATTCAAAAATAGCATGTTGCCATGTGCTGCTCTTTTTTCTGTTGTCAGTATGTACTGGATGGTATAGTTCTCCTCTTTCTCATTTCCTCCTTCCAAAGGAGTTGGCAGATTGCACTGTGTATGCACCAATATTTCAAGAGATGTGGCAGGGAAGAGGAGGGAGGGAAGGCATGTAATGAACAGACCATGGCAGTTTTCTGCCACATTCCTCTGGAAAATCAGAGAATCACTGAGTTGGAAAGGACTACAGGGATCATTCAATCCAACCACTTGGCATGCAGTATGCCCAATAAAAGCACTCCAGGACAATAGCCATACAGACTCTCAGACAGAATTGTTAAATGTTAGCTATGCTTTTAAAGATCCTTAGGGGATAGCTTAGGTTGAGTCTCTGGTTGGATTTACACTGACCTATATCCTAGGATCTGATCACAAATTATCTGCTTATCCCAGATTATCTGGCAGTGTAGACTCATATAATTCCTTTCTAAGAAGATAATCTGGGATCAGATACTGGATTATATGGCAATGTAAATCCAGCCTGAGAGGGAGGACTGCAAAAAAAATGGTTTGGGAGGTCAAAAGAAGCCTACAGTCTATACTTTCCCTGTCCCTATTTTAGGCATATACATTTTGAGGAAAATATTATAAACCGTACTTTTCCATCTGCGCACTTGGTTCCAATGAGGACAAGACCAGGGTCAGGCATGTCATCTCCCAGGTAAACATGAGTTCCACGGCAGAGGATTCTGCCGCCTTCCTGTAGTGGGATGTTTGTTTCTATGGAGACAGCATTGGTACCAATTACAGGTCGATTTGCTCCACCTTGACATTGAATTTTTCCACACTTAGCATCTCTACAGGGGAACAAATAACACAAGTCATTTTAACGGCAACATATCTACCACTGCTAGAGCTTCATAGACTTCTCTATTAGCCAACAATTTATCACATGCAATACCTGGCTTCACACTTGGCAAAGGAACTTTTGGAATCTTTGCCACAATTTCCGTAAGGATCACCGGCAGAATTGACTCTTTCAAAGCATATTCCAGGAGCAGGCTTGGCACCTAAAACAGAGGCAAAAGCATTTTAAGAATGTAAATTATACATAATTCAGATGCCATTGTCTTAGGGCCCTTCTTCACTGCCATATAATCCAGAATAGCAAGGCAGAGAATCCTCATTCTGCTTTGAACTGGATTATCTGAGTCTACACTGCTAGAGAACCCAGTTCAAAGCAGATAATCCGGATTTTATACAGCTGTGTAGAAGGGGGCCAAAATTAGTATTGCAGCAGGGAGGAAAGAGAGGTAAAGATTAGAGGAAGGATTACATTCTGTCTAAACACTGGGGCCCCTAAAATCATAAAAGACGGCAGTGGTTATGGTTCTTTCACAACTTCCATTATCATGACAGCAGCTGCCAAATAGCTGTCTTGCTCTATTGTGTCAGTTTCAGAAGCCTAAACATTTTGGATGCTTCGAATCTTGCTCTTTTGAATTGAAATCTGCTAGCTGAAAGTGGGTAGTGTTAGATATACATTATAATCTAGTTAGGTTTGACAAGCACAGAGCTTGTGATAACTCTTTTACCTTTAAAAGCTGCATAGAATGCAAAATACCTCCAGATATGGCATCTCCTGTCACTATAACACTATGATGACAAAAAAAATGTCCTTCAAAAATACCTGTCCGTTTTTGTGCTCCTTTTATGGAAGCTTTCCTAAGGTCTGGAACAGACATCCATATGTTCAAATTCTTTCCAACTATAGTATTGGGATGAAAGATATATACCTATTCTCCAGGACTGTCACCCATAAACAAAAACAGGAGGATTGGAGGGGCTCTTCTTTTATGTGAGTGCACCTCCTTTTTAATCTCATGGTCTTTGTCTTTTGTCTTCCTATAGGAAGCACATCTTCTTTAAGGGCAGTTCCAGACAGCCCTTTATTGCAGGATCATTCGCGTTTTAAAAACATGGCATGCACTTTTTGAGGTGGGTCTCCAGATGCTCTCATGGGACTGGCTCACAAGAACATCTGGAGGCCCTCCCCCCTCCCCTACAGCCCGCAAACCCCTTTGAAAAGTAAAGAAAACTTACCCGGCCTCTAGTACACTGTTGCAGCTGCTCTCCTGACATGTAGAAAAGCACCAGGAGACCGGGGGGGGGGGGGGGGAGGTAAATTGCTCATACCTCCCCCCCAACTCTCCTGGCACACAATTTCTACGCACCAGGAGAGCAGCTGCAACAGTGTACTGGAGCCCGGGGAATTTTTCTTTACTTTTCAATGGGCTTTGGGGGCTTTGTGGGAGGGGGGTGGGTATTCCCACAGTTTTCCACACCAAACCATCTAGAAATAGTGGGTTTATCCCACACCTTCCAAGAAGGCATGAAATAAATCCACTATCTAATACAATCCAGGGTTTTCCTGGTTTGTAGCGAATTAATTTGGGATTATCCAGGACGACATCTGGACCGCCCCTTCTTTATTGTGGGAGTTACCACAATAAATGGGCTGTCTGGATGCACCCTAAGATATTTAAAATGCCTGATTCAGTATGCCACAATATCTTGATTCATACTTCCATTATGAATGACTGCTTCCAGCCCTAGCATTTTGCTAGCAAGCTTCTGGCAATAGCTAATATTCCCAACAAATAATAATAATAATAATAATCATCATCATCATCATCATCTTTATTTATATTCTGCCACCATCTCCACAAAGGGACTCAGGAAAAGATTCTAGATAACAGGTGGAATCATGAAGCCTTCTGAATAAGGGCCAAAACTCCCAGGATTTGTCATGGTGGCTATGATGACTAAGGATACTGTGTTTTGAAGTTCAACAGCACTAATGTGTGTGTCCAACATTGTGCGATTGCACAATGGACGTGGACTGTGTTCCTGCAGTTTGAAATGTTCAGCCGGTATGTTTCATCTTTCAGTACTACCCCATCAAATCCACATTTTAAGTGACATGGTCCCAAAACACAGCCACATCCATGTTTATTCAACAATTTCCTTTAGTTGGACATGCTATAACGAGCATCCACAGGTTTCTTCCTCTGCAGATGATGTCCTTGTAGCATGCCCAGCTGCAGGAAATTTGTTGGATACATCACAGTACGATACCTTGTACTCCAACTTCATGGAAATTGTCATATTGGTGTGTGAGTATTAACTGAAAAGTGAGTTTCAGGGGAAGGATTTGTAAGCTGCCCCAAGTCCCTTTGGGGAGATGGTGGCAGGATACAAGAATAAAGTTATTATTATAATAAGTTGTTATTGGTTGTTGCACTTAGCAAAAAAATACTAGACTTTCCCAACAACTAAAAAAAGATGAAATTACAATTATGTACATAGGACTTAACACTATTGTTACTCATTGACAAGAAGCTATTCATGCTTTTCCCATGCAAGAAACATGCTTTTGTACAGTAAATATATAGGTTTTTTCCTGGCAAAAAAGAGATGTAGGAATATGCATGTTCCCATTGATTAAAGTATGTTTCCATGTGTTCTACAGCTATACACATTTTTATTTATTTTAAAAATATATGCACAAGTCTTGGTCAGTTTGAAGATGAATATTTTTTTTTCAGAATCTCAGAAACACTGAAAACTTGGCCATTCCTAATCCTAAATGCATATGTGTGCTTGTGGGAATATGTCTGTCTCTGTGTACTTCAGCTTGTAGGTGTTGTACATAAAAAACAGAATACAGGCAGTCCCCGAATTACAAACATTTGACTTACAAATGACTCATAGTTAAGAATGGTTTTATTTATTTATTTATTTATTTATCATGTCAGAAGCTAATTGAGGGTACATTTAAAATATATATAAAACACAAACGAAGGTTTAAAAACTTGGCATTATGCTAAATGTCATTTGACCAGTAACTGGCCACTTGGAGTGCCTCTACGGGGGTGAGACAACAGGAAGTGAAATAAATCAACCTCTTCAGAAGGGAAATTCACAGTTATTATGGGGAAAAGGTGTCTCCAATGAAGCTTTCTCATCAATCTTTGTTTCCACAACAAGCCACATTTTTCAAAATCCAATGATCACAGGGACAGAAAGAGGCGAAATCTTCTGAATGGGGCACAGACAGCAGAACAAACACTCCTTATCAATGCTAACCAAAAGATAGATATAGATAGATATATGCATGCATACACACTCACACGGCTAGAGTTACACTTAAAAATATACCTGTTCCGACTTACAAACAAATTCAACTTAAGAACAAACCTACAGAACCTATCTTGTTTATAACTTGGGGGCTGCCTGTATATGTGAATGGATACTCCTGACAAGCTTACTAAAATTCAGTTCATGTGTTCAACCAACATATTTATATACAAAAAGAATGTTACAGATTTTATCAAGCTTCAAGCATCTTGCCTGAAGAAGGAGAGTTCAAAATAACATATTGGTGTTTGATTACTGGGTGACTGAGATATCCACAAAATAGAAGAGATTCCTGGAGGGAAAAATTGTATCTTTCATGCATCAAATTATATTTGTTTTACTATAAACTGGTAATTTAGAGGAAGACAAAAGACTGAAATCTTTTGTATCAAAGAGGCTGGAACATCATTAGATCTCTCTCAGAAATGGGATGTCCTCAAGGTATCTCACATCTGGAACATTTTTTAAAAAACAACAAGAAGTAAGCCTGAGCTTTCATCTCAAAAGGATGAATCATAAACACAATAATCATTTATTAATTTGCTGAATAACATCAACCAACACAGGAATAAAGTGGATTATTTGACTAATTTTCCTGATTGCTCAATGAAAGGCAAATACAGTCAGGTGGAACATGAACATGCAGAAATCTTTCTGGGGAGTTCGAGGAAGAATAAACAGAAAAGCATCAAGGACATTTCCCTCTTGATTTTTGAGGCTTGAAAAGACCATGAACTGGGATTATCTATCCATGTTTTTGCGAAGAAGCATTTATTTCTTTACAGAAGACAACCAATTTCTTTCTCCACCCTTTAAGTGCAATACAATTATGCAGCTAAAACAAGAAAGTTCATCTAGTTCAGTACATCACAGGGCACATAATGAAGGCATTCCTTTCCTGTTTATCCACAACATCTGGAAATCAAAAGTACATTGCTATTCAGCCACCCTAGTTCAGCTGCGCGACTTCACTTTTTTACTAAAACCAACTATGAGCAACCAACTTGAACTCCGGAAAAAATGTTTCTGTAAGGGGAGGGGAATTTTTTTTTATTATACAACATACTGAGAAAGTCCACATAGCAAATAACACGTGCTTCCGAGGCTGAATCCATAACAGAAAAGGAATTCCTCCTTACCTCAATCCCTGGTTTTCATGTGAAAGTATGTCTTTGGGGGTTATATTATTTATTTATAGTGTCAGAAGCGAATTGAGAATACAGTTATAATGTATAGAAAAGATACAAAGTTAAAAAACTTGGCATTATACTAAATTTCTTTTGACCGGAAGATGGCCAGTTGGAGCCAGTGACGGAGTTCTGGGTTTTAGCCTGCCACTTTTGGACTCTCGCTTACTGAGGTGTTCCGATGAGTATCTCTATAGATCTTAGGAAGCTATTTCTTGATTTAAGGCATTGGCTTGCTGGCTGATATCTGAACAGAGGATGGGCCAGAGATGTCAATGCCTTGGTCCTTTCATTACAAGCTGCTACTTCCCGACGGATGTCAGGTGGTGCAATACCGGCTAAACAGTATAATTTCTCCAGTGGTGTAGGATGTAGACATTCTGTAATAATGCAGCATGTCTCATTAAGAGCCACATCTACTGTTTTAACATGGTGAGATGTATTCCACACTCGGCATGCATATTCAACAGAGTAGCAAAGAACAAGGGCAGTTTTCACTGTGTCTGGTTGTGATCCCAGGTCTTTTAGGGTGGGATGGCTGGACAGGTTGGTGAGTTATTATAACTACTACTGCTATTATTACAGAGACTGGATTGCAATCTGCCATTGGTGCTTTGTGCTTCAATTGGTTGACTAGATGACCCCTGGGATTACTGCTATGATGATGATGATGATGATGATGA